TTTTGCGGACTGTTTGGTCACAGTATTGCTAAAGCAGATCTGCTTGCTATCGACCATCTATTTGTTATCAATTTCTCTAACATATATGGAATCATTTTGGCCGCAATAGTCTCATGTATGTGCTAACAGAGTTGTTGCGTTTTTTGTCTCTATGTGCTAACAGTTTTGGCAGCACCAAAGCATGTTTCCGTACTGTAGCGTTTCTGCACACAGTTTCTGTTGCCAAGGTCTGCGCAGTCAGAAATTGTTTGCTGGGTATACTGTAGGATTAGTTTCCTAAACTTTTTTAACGTTTAGATGATGATGACATCACGGTAAAAAATTTTTTATATATACTTATACACACATTAAAATAAGTATATCTAATTATGCAAATTTATATGCCGAATATGTCCATACAATTTTATACATGAAAAATTTTTTACCGGGATTGCGATTTTCTACTTTTGTACTTTACTAAGTGTATTATTATTTACCTTGATATTTCTTGAAAGAACACTTTCTGGGAACAAAAACATTCTCGACATGTTTTCAAGAGCAATAAAAACAGGATACCACGCTGTGTAGGAATTGTTTCCATGAAATATACTGCTTGCAAGTTCAAAATATATGTCTAAATCAATATTATATGGAGCAAAAGTTTTGTTATACTCTGTATTTTGAACCAAAAAATAAAAAGCATCGTCTAATAATTGTGCTAAAGTGACATCAGATAAATCCACGATTTTCGGATCTGTATTTTTTAGGAAAAAAGCAATACGCTTCCAAGATTCACGGTCATAGTTGACACGATATCCTACAATAAAGAAATGTAATAAATAGAGATAATAAATAAAAAAAAACAAAAGTAAAAACCACATGTAACGTATTAATATAGTATATGTAACGTATAAATAAAGTATTAAACATTTTTATTAAACTAGATGTATAAGTAAGATAAAATTGATACTCCACATGTGGATTACATATTACATTACCTGAGCAATTCACGACAAGAGTAATATGATTTTTAAGAAAAACCGATGTAAAAAATAATTTTCCGTCTGGTTTTAGGACATGATGAAAAGTGTCAAGAACTTGTGTGTTAAATATTGTTTTAAAGGTTACAGGTATCCACCATTTTTGTTTGCACAGCATTTTGTCGTTGGAATCAACGTCAAAACAGTCTATAATCATTGCTGACACAGATTGTGTATCATTGTGTCGGTTTACTTGTACTACAGGATAACCACTTTGTGCTGTCCATGAACTTATCATACTTTTGATATCTGACGACTTCATGTATGGAGACTTGTATACGGAATGCGTCTCAAAATTTTCGTATGTAGTCCACAACTTATCGAGAATTGACAGGTTATCGTATGTGTTATTTGATGTATTATTACTGAAAATATCATACAAAAAACTATATCATTAATATTTGTTGCACTCTTGTAAAAGAATATTTACTGATTAGAAGTTATGATGACTTTACAAATAGTGTGAATAATGTTTAAATGAAAACTGTTGGAGTACTCTGTACTCCGATGATTTGTACATACTCACGTATTATAATATAACTTTACGATTTCTTTAAACATAGAAATATATAGAAAATCATGCTGAAATACGCCACTAAGCATATAGAAGGTACTGAATGCTACAACATAATTAATAGTATTTAGTTTCTAAAAACTTATTAACAAGAATATCTATAGTAGTCAATAATAAATGTATAAATTAGAGCTATTCTTACTTTTAAACACACATAGAAATGTAAATGTAATTATATATTGATCTTTGAAAATGTTCGACTACAATACATATAGTCAAAGAAAGGATCTTAATAGCCAAGATTTTTTTTGCAGATCGACGATTACACTGATCTCGTTGGTCTAGAGTTTGTTTGCACAAAAACAATTTTGCGCAGATCCCGATTGTTCATAGTTATTGCACAAATAAAGTAGTTGATTAGATCTATATTTAGTTTACACATAAACAATATTGCACAGATCTCGATTGTCCATTACAATCATTGCAGATCTCTTAGGTGACTACATATAGCACAGAACATTAGTGCACGTGAAAATGTGTAACTTTATAAGAAACCTCTCCTTCTCTCTCTCTCTACAACAAACGACGTCTACAACTGAAGCAAGATCCACATAAGTTTATAACTTTCCACGCAAAACGTAGTTTAAAGAAGTGCAGGGAGAAAAGAAAAACCTTTGCCTATACGCTTACAACTCGAACAATTAAAACATAAAAAAGAAGTAATCTTGTTTTAATATGTGCAATATGATTTCTATGCAAATGGATTCTAAATAAACGGAATCTGTGAAATAATCTATGGAATAAAACAATTGAACTTTTAGTCAATTACGGCATCTGTTCACTGACGACTATAGACAATCAAGATCTGCAGAAAAAGTTTTTGTGCAAACAAGAATTACGATGTGTACAAGCGATCTGCGCAAAAGAAATCTTGGCAATCGGTGCCCTGCGTTTTATTTTATCTCATTATATTATATCATTTTGTAGATGGAGTGTAGTAATTAAACTTTTTTATTAACATCAATTCTCTTACCTTTGTCTCGCCACATTTTTCTAAAAGTTGAATTTCGAACTATGATGGAATTATTTTGAAGTGGAAAATCATAGTTATTAAATGCTTCTGTATAATCCAAAAAGCTTCGTCGTGTCTGGACCACAATTGATTCTAGTAAAGTTGTTTCCAAAGACTATCAACAAGTTAAGATAAGTTTAAATGATTACACAAGTAGCTCAGCTACTGTGTAAGTGTAATAAAAGTTTAATAGTATAGGTCTCGGTGATAATTTTCATCAGAAAAATAAATCGACCGTAGCACTAGTAATAACTAAGAAAGTATATATGTGTAGATTAATCTCTACACATTAACATAATTATGTTTAGATACTTTAATATTAATATGTTATACTGTGTATCTTTCTGAAGTAATTAAAAAAACAAAATAGTAAAAGCGCCAAAATACAATATGTCTAAGAATATGATATTCTTTTTTAATTCCTAAATATATACTGTGTTCCTTAAATATTACATTTATGTAAAAACATCAAGAGTAAAACTGCACAAAGCTAACCTGATCGTGAATGTAAATTCCAAATACTGTTGAAAATCCTTCCAAAAACCAAGAATCCGACTGTCTAAATATAGCTATCCAATTACTGAACAATTCCTGTATCACACTTCGTACTATCAAACAAGTTACTTCTCTTTTTTGTATAATCGAATCTACTTTTGGGTTATAAATACTATGAGCTTCACTGAAAATAAAAGTATCAGATGTTAGTATAAGTACGTTTTTCTTGGTGTGTACAGATTGATTTAGAAACTTGATTTTGTATTTTTAGGTATGCGTCACCTGATGAGAACAAGTCCAGTAGTTATTATACTTCTACTTTCGTAGTGAGTAGAGACTATTGGAAGTAGCGCGTAATGAACATATGATTGTGGTATGATATCGTTCAACATATTTTTTAAAATTTTAGTGACATTGAAAATAGACATTTGTGCATATAGTGTGGCATTTTTCATTTTTGAACTGCTTGTAATAGTAACTGTATCTCGTGTTAAGTTATTTGTTGGATATACATTTGGTATGACAAATAATGCTACCAAATGCGTGGATATTGCAGGTGTGTTATCAAATCCTGTACGTATTATATTTGGTTTACTATATTTATATTTAACAGGCATATTTGATACAGCTGTTACAGTGTTTTTATGTTCAATGTGAATGGTAAATCTAGACTTGATAGCTGGATTTTTCCAATATGGAAATATCCATTCACTTGGAATTCGTGGTAAAACCAGAACTCTATAAAATACAAGAAACATAGTAACAATATTAAGTTGATACATTATTACTGTTGATAAATACATTAAAGTAAATAAGTTATTAACTTAGTAATAAAAATATATCACTTTATATTAAACGAACTTTATAGTAAACGAACTTTATATTAAACTACACTAAACAATTATTAATTTTACAACTAAAAGTATGTTTCAACAGAACAAAGTGAAAAAGAGAATGTATTTGTTGTTAATTAGTAGTAGAGTAACGCTCTGTTTATGAAATTATACATATATTGTTAGTAAATGTATACAGCATATAAATTATTAAACTTAGTAGAAGTAATTAGTTAAGTAATAAAATTAGTTTTGTGTGTGAAGTATTTAGTTAATAGAATTATTTAATGAACTATACAGTATGTAGTACATAAATATAATAGAAAAATTAATAATAATAAGTATTTATATAGTACAAAATCTGTATGTAATATTTAATGTATATAAGTACTTCTTAAATAATATTTTGATACTGTTTTGTAGAAATGTATATAAATAACATAGGATGCGATCACTTTGGGCGCTTACACGCTTTGAGCGTCAGTCTATCTTTGTTCTATATTTAAACAACAATAAAGAAAGACTGACGCTTAAAGCGTGTAAGCGTCCAAAGTGAACGCACCCATTGTATAATGATGGCAACATTCCAAAACTGTTAATATGAAGTAGTGTTGTATGCACTTACTCTTTTGTTTCGTTTTGGTTTCTGTATGTAGTGAGAACCGTTGCAACTTCTTTTAAAGTACAATTATATATCGAATTTATTTTGTAAAATCCAGGTTGTAGAGTCATATTTCGTCTTTCCAGGTATAAGTTTGTGCGGTTCTCTTTAAACAGACTGATTGTTAATATGTCGAATCGTTGTGTCGAAGAATACGTGTGTATCATTCTAGTAAATTTCCACCGTGAGAAAAACTTATATTGAATATCAGTTTGAACGTTTATTTGCATATGACAATCACGTTGAACGTATAATTTTATGTGTGGCTGTTTACATGACACGTTCAGTACAACAGTAGAATTGACAAAAAGAGTAGTGTTTTGTGGTTTTAAGAAAATAGTATAATTTATCGGTTGTACACACTGCGATGTTTGAGATAAATTCTCTTCAGTGGAAGAAGCAATTCCCATAACAGATATTGAGCATATTGTTCCGAAGAATATAAGCATTTGCGTAATGCGTATCTACAAAATTATTTTGTTTGTTAAACACGAAATACAGATACACATTAAAACGAAATAAGTACACAAAAATTTATTTAAAAAACAACAAACGTTTGCATCAACTACTAAAACAGCAATTACAGATGTGTGACCGTTATAAGTATGTTTATCAATAATTTAGGATGTTCTTTATTTCTAACAAACATACACACGACATATGCGTCGCGGTTGTGATTTTCTTAATCCGACATACTAGAATACGATTTATTAGGAAAACAAAGTATATATAGATTTATTGTATACTACACGTTTTTGACAAACTTTGACATTATTTCAACAGAACAAAATCCGACAATACTGTATAATTGCAAGTTGTGTATTACAACATTGTAAACAACATCTTAATAAGTCATATGATAATATTTATGTGCAGTATTTCTCATATTGTAAAAATATTAGGAGTAAATGGTTATTAGTTGCTTTCTCTAGCTTCTATATTACAAACATATTTATATATTGCGAAAACATTGTAGGTCAAAACGCTTTTGAAATAATAAATCCATATTCCGATTCTTATTACCGGATAGTTGTGTATGTTATAGAGAGTATAGTTTATATTTTATAACAAATGTTGTACAATACAAACAAATCTACAACAACTATGATAATACAAACAACGAGACATTTGCAGTTACTGAGAGCCATACGCTGGATGTTTGTCACGTATTTTGTGTGTATATATATATACATATTCATATATGTTCATGAATTTCTATATAAAATCGTACATTTTTATATAAATTTAGAATTGAAATTTTATTTCTTAAATTCATATAGGATGCTATTTTTGCATATATGAAAGACCTCGTATACTCCCATAACTAATTTTAAAATATTACGAAAAAAATACTTGACCAGGAAGTCGAACCTGGAACCTCCGGCTTTCCGTGCCGGCACGGACTATATATGTGTTTGTATGCATATATATATATATATATATATATATATACAATACGTGACAAAAACATTCAGCGTATGGCTCTTATTGACCGAAGTTTCACGTTGTTTGAGTTCCAAGAGCCTTAAAACTTTTAATATTAATACAAAAAAAGAAAAACTTACCATCTTCTATACAGTGATATCCAATGCATTAAGACAAAAATCTTGTAATAAAAACTGTTGGAAACTATTAATACAACACAATCGAAAATGTATTGCGCCTACAAGATCTTTTCTTTTCGAGAAATTCTCGATAACTAACAGACGATCGTTTCTGTGGAACAATATGTACGTGCCAAGAAGTAAACACTTGTGTTTTTGGGAAAACGACCTTATTTGTGTTCTCTTGTAAATATACATGATGATAGAACTAGTTTTAAATACGTCTCTTTTCACAGGTTAATATAAAAATATAATTTTAAGTACAAAATATAATTTTAAATACAAAATGTATTCAATAATTAGATTGTTCTTGTCGGAGTCTACATTTGAAACAATGTAATTAATTCACAAGCTTTAAAATATATATTAAATGTGGTATTCTTCCAATGATAAAAATTGAAAGAAATTTTGCAGAAAAAATATGTGGAATTCGGAACTGCATTTGAAAATGTTCTACAATCTAGATTTTATTTTTTTTGGTTCACGTAGACGTACGCGGCTACTTGCATGACGTCACGCTCGATGCGAGTATTGTATTTTTAATCGAACGATCAAACGAGCCCGCCGAAGGCGGGCGAAGTTTGATCAGGATTATACGAAATGTCTCGTTCGAAGATGATAACAATGTAGTCATGCTTGTCATGCCTCAATTCACAACGTTTAACGCATAAAGGATTTCAAAAAGGTGGCGCTCTGATCGCTACCCTTCCTCGTTTCCCGCCGTTCAGCTTCATATTGTTTTGTGTGACGTGCGTAGAATTATCACGAAGCCGTTTCAAAGATGATAATGGGTGTACTACTATTCCGTATATATAATTCCTGTTATATATATTATATATGTATTTATGTATGTATTTAATAACATTAGTATTATTTATTATTTTTATATATAT